GCTGAAACTATATTTACCTTTTTTGAAATAATCCATTAAACCTGCTGAGAAACGAGGAGCGTGAACTAGAATGAGCAGTTGCACGCGCATGCCCGGGAAACTCATTGATATTAATGTAGGCTCCGCCCACTGCCTCTACAGATGCACAACTCACTTTTGCACCACATTTCACGGTGCACTTGGTGCAAAAGGCGGAGTGTACGAAACTTGTCACTTGAAAGTGAAAAACAGAGCTTGTGATTCGTCGCAGCAGATTCAAGCAGCTGTAGTTATGTACTTGTGTTTGTGCTAGAAAAATATACAAGACCTTTGTGAGAAAAGATTCTACAAGTGTGCAACTCTCATTGGATGAATTCACATACTGATTTGCAGATGAGCAAAAGTTCTCTGTGACTTCACATTTTTTGATGCGGGTGTGTAAATGCGTTTTGCACCATATTCACTGCAGCAACTGTAGCAAAAATGTGAGCGTACGAGTTTCTTAATTTGTGATTTGTAGAATAGGATTTGTGCACCTGCAATGAAGAATTTGAGAAGGTGTAACTGTTGTGTTGTGTTTGTGGAAGATAAAAAAAAGTCTACAAGTGTGCAACTCTTAAAAAATTGATCTCTGTGACTTCACATTTACTGATACACATGTGTGGCTATTCTCTACAACTATAAATTCCACTGTCACAGGCGTTCAGTTGTTTTGCACCAAAAATACCTTCTGTTTTGACAATGGTGTCGTCTGTATGTGAAAAATGCAAAGGAAATGCTTTTCCATTTTAAGTACATTGTTGTCGTGTAAACGTTCCCTAAATATATGTAACTCCTATAGGATCATAATTAAACTGCAAGTGTTCATGGGATTGTGATAGAAATGCCAATGCAAAACGATGCTAAATAAAACCATAATTTTTTTATAAAACAGAATATATTATTAAATATACATTGTGTTATTAGGATATGTAAAATATAATATTATTAAATATGAATTATTAAAACAATCAAAATACAATACCTATTTTAGGTTTAAAATCTCAGGGAGTTAGTAAAGTATTTAATTTAAGTCACAGTGGTTCAGCAGACAAAAAGATTGTAAAAACCTGATCTTAAATATCGGTGGATGATGACTTGTTAATGAAGTGCTTTTGATTGACTCTGTCATGGGTGTTTTCATCAGTGGTCCAGTTCTGCAAACAGTAGTTCAATTCCAAACAGTGGAAGCGCTCTCCTGGCTGGGAAGGGTGGAGTCTCTATTACAGGAGGCGGGGTTAAACCCACTACCGAAGAAAGGAATATTTGTGGGAGGAGTTAGAGTGAAAAATATTACTGTGGGAGGTGAGTGTTGAACAACTAGATCTTTACCAGTTACTTTTTTTTTTTAATACCTCTAGCATTTATTTGTATCTTTTGGAGCCCTTATGGGAGCATGGTGGTTAAAAAAACATAGATGAAATATAAGATAGATGAAAAAAATATTTTGAATGCTTTTAGCTTTTGCTCGCAAAACATTTGCTTTCTTTTGCATAACATTTTTGTCACTTTGCATTTGCTCTAAAAATCACTGAAATATAGTTTGTTCCTTCCACCTCATATTATTTCCGCAAAGTTTCACTGGGGAATGCGATACTTTTTCAAGAGAATACAAAAGCATTGGAATATAATTTCCCCTCCCGTTTCATTACCATCACCATGTCCCTTTAGGGGCTCCATAGTATCTCAAACACTCATGCCACCTTTCATTTTTCTTTGTTTCTTTCTTTCTCAGGTTTGCAGACAGATGTTTGTGAATGGTTGTTTGAATGTCCATCTGGGTTCCAGTGTGTTTCTTCGAAGAGTAATACCACATGTACATCTGTGTGCCACTCTGAATACTGTAAACATCAGGGCATCTGTGTCCATCGCCTCGGGCAACAGCCTATGTGCCAGTAAGTTGCATGTACAGTTACAGTACCTACAGTGTAGTTTGACTTGCGGCATAAAATCTGGTCCTCATTGCAGGTCAAGATCTTCCCATTTATCAAGGAAGAAACCTTCCGATGGATGCATATACCTTTTAAATGCACCTTTCCAGGAGAACTAATTAAATATACTTGCTGAAGTGACCTGCAGGTTTGACTAAACTCTGTCTTTCTGCAGGTGTCCTGTTGGGGAGGATTACTGGTTTATGGGGCAGCGCTGTGACCTCCACATGACCCGACCGCGTTTGGTGGGCGTCTGTTTTGGGGTACTGGTCGCTGTCACTACAGTCATGGCTCTTCTGTCTTATCTCGCAGTGCGCCGTTTTAAAAGCAAGCTTATGCAAGCCAAAGTGGAACAAACACGCAGCAGGTATCACATGTGCAATCATTTTAAAAACACACGCTCACTCCCATAAAGTCATCTGTTGTAGCCTGGTTTTGTTATTGGAAATAGTTTGCAGGAAATCATTGGCTAGTTAAAACAAACCATAGGTTGAGATAGCACCACTGAAAGTGACACAGGGAGGGACGGGGTCAAGTGAACACACACAGACACTCTTAAATGTGAATTTTAAATATACTTCTGTCTTCTGTATGTGTGGATACAGTTATCGCAGATTCAATCACTTTGATGAGCTTTCGGCTCGTTTTTGGGGAAGGTCCTGGCCAGGCTCTGAGGACTCGTTGGATAACCCTGCCTTCACCCGCTCAGATGAATTACTACATCTGAGGGCACTTGATCGTACCTGCTGTTACCACGATGACACTCTTTCTGTTGTATCCACATACCACGGAAGTGGAACACACCTCAACACCATATATCCTAATGGGTACCGTACGATTATTTGCATATTATTGTATAAACAATGTTTTACCATTGGTTTTTGGACATGGTGCCATGGTAATACGATGGTAATCTTGAAAATACACTGTCAATATCATTCATGGTACACTACTGCTCAAAAATTTGGGGCTGGTAAGATTTTGCAGCATCATTACTCCAGTCATCAGTGTCACATGATACTTCTGAAATTAATTTAATATTTAGTTCTTAAGAATATTTAATATTTAGTGCTTAATATTTTTGTGAAAAGCACGATACATTTTTTTTCCAGGATGCTTCGATGAATGGAAAGTTGAAAAGAACAGCATTTATTTGAAATAGGAATCTTTTGTCACATTATAAATGTCTTTACTGTCACTTTTGATCAATTTAATGAGCCCTTGCTGAATAAAATGATACATTTCTTTCAACAAACCCCTCAAATATTTGATCAGTAGTGAATATTCCAAAGTACCATATTACATAAATAGAGTAGGTTGTTTACTTGATTTTTCTATGCATGTTTGGGCTTACAGTTCTCAGTATGGTTGGGATGTCAGCAACTGCAGCTTGGCGGATGGTGTGATGGATTCTGGGAAGGCTAGTGACCTGTCGGTGTGTAGCTGGCCGATCGAGCCGATTCAATGGACGCCATTCCCTTTACTGCAGCAGCTCACCAGGAATACAACTACGGTAAGACACAAATACAGATTATATATCCATATTGTTGTAATTGAATGACACAAAACTGTGCTGATTATCCAGGTGAAAGCGTCTCGTCCTCGCTCCTACTGTGAAGGAATGGAACTTGTAGATTTAGAGAAGAGCTGGACAGCTTAATGGAGATTCAGAAAAACAGTACAACTTCTGGCCAAGTGTGAGAATATTTCATCTGTGTGAGAATATTTGAACTGTTTAAGGAACACCATTGTTGTACCATATAGATCCATCTTAATAAAATCTCTTTAAACTAAAAAAAAAGAGAGTTTTTAAAATTTGATCTGCTTCCAGTGTACTCTGCAAAATGTACACTACCGTTGGGGTCAGTAAGGTTTTTTCATACTTTTTTATTTATCAAGGACACATTCAATTGTTCTTTTGAACTTTATAATGAATCAGTTTCCACAAAAAAATTAAGCAGGACAATTGTTTTTCACATTGAAAATAAATGTTTCTTGAGCAGCAAATCAGCATATTAGAACGATTTCTGAAGGATAGTGTGACACTGGAGACTGGAATAATGATGCTGAAAATTCAGCTTTGCATCACAGGAATAAATTACAGCTTAAATGTATTACAACAGAAAACAGTTCTTTTAAATTGTACTAATATTTCACAATATAGCTGTTTTTACTGTATTTTTGATCAAATAAATGGAGCATTGTTGAGCATTAGAGAATTCTTTAAATCCCACCAACCCCAAATTTTTGTGAGGTAGTGTACATGAACTTTTTGTAAGTGCTAATTGAAATAAAATGCGGTACTTTTTCATTGTTTTTCATATAAAGACTAAAATCTTTAAACAAAAATTCGTTTTTGAGAATATTTTGCAACACTTCCACTCTGCCTTCCAATGTGTGACAACAACCCTGGAGTTAGAGAACCCAGATATGTCAAATGACTGAGGCAGTGAGACGCTTCTACGTTTTCCGATTGGCTAATATGCAAAAACATGGGTTCAAGGTTCAGTCATAGTCATGTGTGACCCAGGCCAGACACTGACTAATGTCACCATCCTGTTCTGTCCTCATTGAGTCTAAAATCAATCCACTTAAACCCTGTTGCTCCAGGCCATCTGTCCTATCAATTGTGTTGTCAGTTAGTATAAAATTGTCTGTTAAATCACCCAATCCAATAGACTCACATAAAATGTACACCAAAGTCCGAATGTAATTTGCTAGTATACTGCACTGAGAATTTCTCTTGAACAGTTACCAAACACTAGCATGTACATTATCCGCTTAAAAGTTCTAGTTTGTGTTTTATGATTTAAAACATCATTACATTAAATTTACTGGATTGATTTTACGATACGGATCTAGAAATGGTGGATGAACCAATACTGTGAGTGTCTATTTTTGACATGACAGATGCACTTTACTGCTCATGTGGCCATTGTGAGTATTGCATCTGAAAAAACATCCAAGGACAAGGTACGGCATGTTCACTTCTGCATAAAGACAGCAGAAGGTCAATAAACAGCACCAATGAATTGCCTCCATAATTTAGTACATAAAGCTAAACGCAAATAATATGTAATAGCTAGCTTCACTCAGATCTTTCATATCGCTTTTCAAATAGCAGCAACATTTCATTTCACACTGGAGTTGTTCTTCTTGTCGCATTGCCACTTTGAGACACATATGAGGGCTCTTTTACAGCACTTTGCATGTGTGCAATGTCATTCCCAGAATTGTGCGCGTGCACTGGGCTTTTACTGGGATTTACTGAGTTGGGCTTATAGTTCTGCGACAGCATGACTCCATTTTCCGGCTTGACTGAATTCTGTCCGTGTGAATTTGCTAACACAAACCCTTTCTCGGTGCTCAGCGAGTTCTGTATGTGCGGAACCCCTCTTTCCGATTTCACAGAGTTCTGGCGATTTGCAAAGTTGTTATTAGCAATGACGGAGTTGTGAAAATGTGCAAAACCATGGCCAGTGCTGAGGGAGTTGTGCGCGTGAGTAGCTGTGGGTGCAAGCCCGCGTCCCAGGGCGTACAGCCCGAGGTCGTTCCCTTGACGGGCAGGGGAGGGTTCGCGAGACCGGGAGTCAGACGAGCGGTTTGGACCCTGCCTCCAGCGGTAGCGGGAACGGTAGCTGTTCGAGCGGTGATGCGTGCTGGTTTGGAGTGTGCGATGCGAACGCGCTCTCAACACACGGTGCGTATCGATGAACAGGTGCACGGTCAGGACCCCCACAGTCTCAGCTATGATGAAGGAAAGAGCGCCGCAGTAGAAGCTCCAGCCGTACCAGTGACTGCGCTTGGACTCGCTCTGGTTGGGGTCGCCAGCGTTGGACGAGATGTACACGATAATGCCAATGATGTTGCTGAGACCTGAAAGAAACGCATGCGATCAGTTGTCCTGCTTTTTCTGCAATCCACGTCGGTGGACTGTTTCAAAATGAGTTATAAATTGGGGACATATTTGTTAAAAAATGTGCCTAGAAGTAAGCTAAATGTCCGTAGAAGTTATCATGTTAGGATGATTAAAGGGGCCCTTATCAGAGAGGGGGTACTGATCCACAGAGGGGGACCCCAAATCAAATCATGCCTCGGTAAATCATAGCTAATCATAAAGAGTAGAAATTATGAGATAAGTCAAAATTGTGGGAAAAATAAGTCATAATTATGAAATGAAAAGTAAAGTTATAATTGACATCAAATGTTTATGACATAATTACGTTTTATCATTGTTTAACTTTTTGCCATAAGTGGTTTTGTCACTGACCTTTGTCACCAAAGCCATATTTGACTTTTTATCTCATAATTTCTACTCTTTATGCCATTATTAGGACTTTTGTCATAATTCACCCTTCTCTATGAGTTTGATTGACAGGCGATCTCACCAACCATATCTGCGAATCTGCCATTTTGTCCAACAAACAAATCAGACTGGACAGTTAGTAGATTAACGTCGGTTAACATGAACTTGAAAAATGGTGTGTATTGACTTCTTTCCGCGGTTGAAATAACATAACTTCTGATGTTCGTGCTATAACTAGTAGGACGAGATTATCGCTCACGTGCTGCTTGAACTGAGACGTTACAGCAATCAGTCACGGCACAAAGAGCAACAAAATGGTATTTATTGTTTGAAATTTCTTAAAAAATTTAAACATTTGAAAGCTAAGATTTTGTTTCATACCAAAAGTAACTCTGTCTTGTCTGTCGACGCGTTGTCAGTGTCCTCTGCTCCGCGATATAGTTTTCACTGTGTGAGAACATGATATGTATGGAGGACCAACTCTACCATATTTAAAAATAAATACAGAAATAAATAAATGCTCAATAAATAAATAAGCATACAATTAATTGCCCCAAAAAATACAATAAACAAATAAATGTAGGTAGAAATTAAATTATACAGTGAGACATAAATGTATATATCTCTTTTAATTAGCTTCTTTATTTATTCACCTTTGTAATAAATACCTTATTTATTTATTGTCCGTTATAATCTTCAACTTTATTTATTAATTACTTATTTTTTTAAGTATTTATTTATGTGCATGTTATAATATTTTTGTCTGTTTTATTCTTCCTTTGTATTTTTTTACCCTATTTATTTCTTCAATGCTATTTATTTCTGCCTGTCGTTTTTACATTTCTGTATGCATTTCTGCCTCATTATGCAAATGAGGAGGGGCTGTGTCTTAAGAGCCTAAGTCCCGCCCCTCCGCTTCCGGCTCATGGGACCTTATTTCGGAAAAAATATGTATGGTCAATGGCGAGAGACAACTTATCTTTTTTATTCCGTCTGAACTGTGCCCTGAATTACACATATGATGTTTGTCAATTTAAAAGATAATTATGAAAGTCAAGAAAGTCGCAGTTTGTCATAAAACAGAAGAGTAACATTTAGTTTTATGTGGAAATCGCTCAATTAACTACATCTCCCGGGAGGCGAAACAACGAGCGAGATCCGTTGCTCGTGTGTGTGCAGTCTGGTACAAAACACTCCGGCATGACGGCGTAACGTGACGATTATAACGTAAGACTATAGACGAAATGACAGACGTTAGCTTCATTAAAGTTAGCTTTATTCATTGAAAGAAAATGTGCGCCGTTTGGGTTTGTAGTCTTTTTAATTACGTATTTTCACAGTCTTATACCTCAACAGTTTTACAGCAAACTGCGACTTTCTTGACTTTAAAATGTATCTTTTAAATTGACAATCAGGGATGAGTTCCCTAATGAATATTAATGAGTCTTCCCCTACCACCCTGCAAAAAAAAAATAATAATAAAATTCGCGGCCGGTGGCATGTAGATTCGACCGATGCAGTAAAATGCTAACCAACCAATGGGCAGAAGTTGACCCCTTAAGACACAGCCCCTCCTCATTTACATAATGAGGCAGAAATGCATACAGAAATGTAAAAACGACAGGCAGAAATAAATAGCATTGAAGAAATAAATAGGGTAAAAAAATACAAAGGAATAATAAAACAGACAAAAATATTATAACATGCACATAAATAAATACTTAAAAAAATAAGTAATTAATAAATAAAGTTGAAGATTATAACGGACAATAAATAAATAATGTAATTATTACAAAGGTGAATAAATAAAGAAGCTAATTAAAAGAGATATATACATTTATGTCTCACTGTATAATTTAATTTCTACCTACATTTATTTGTTTATTGTATTTTTTTGGGCAATTAATTGTATGCTTATTTATTTATTGAGCATTTATTTATTTCTGTATTTATTTTTAAATATGGTAGAGTTGGTCCTCCATAGATATGTGGCGTGAGAGCGCCAAGGATTGTCAGACATACCAACAGTAACTAAGGGGGGCAGGTCTTTGCTAAGGGTCTGTTATGATTTACCATAGCATGATATTTTGTGTAGCATGTGGCAGAAATTAGCTTCCATGTCATTGCCATAAATTTGGTTACAGAGCCACCTACTGGTCAAAGGCTAAAAGGTTACAAATATTGCAAACTCTTAACCTTTCAATGCAATTGGAGTGGATCACCCTGTGATTGCCACATATACAGATATATTCATTTGAAAATAACATCTATGGTGCATACCCATTTAAAGAACTATGTAAAAGTCTGTATATGTGCATGGACATACCAGCTGAAACAAAAAAGATGCCTGCACACAGGATGACGTTGTGTCTGCTCTTGTAGAACTCGCTGGCGGCCACACACACTCCACCAATGAACAGCAGTCCCACACTCATTATAGGGAAAAGACTAGAGGCACGCACAGCACCTACCACACACACACACACAACAGAAATGTATACATAACTGATTGTTCTATTACTGTATATATTGCCATATTATTGCTTTTCACACACAAGTACATTAGTGTCTCTGATCTAAAGTCAGTATTTGTTGTGGGTTACACTTTATTTAAGGTGTCCATGTTACAGTGTAAGTATGCATTTAAGTACTGTGTAATATTAATTAACTACATGTTAGGATTGGGGTTTGGGCTTAGGGTTAGTTGCATGTAATTATGCATATTTTATAGTTATTACTACAGTAACTAAATGTAACGTGTAACAAGGTCACTGTAAAATAAAGTGCTACCTTGTTGTGATGTATCTAAATACCTGGTAATTAAACTGAAAATCAAAAGTCGCTATAAGTTTTCTAACTAATGTAAAATCATAATGACTTAATATGGGATCTCCTTCATACACTGTAGTTTTTTTTACAGTGAATAGGAAAATATCTTCAGAATCCATAATTTTCATATTCCACTTTTAACAGTGACGATAACTCCAGTAACTGGTATTTAATTGGGCACTATAGAGTTTTAAGTGTTATTTGTATTGTATGTTTTTTATTGCATGTGTTTGACCTGTAACTGAATGTCAAGCATTTGCAGATACTCACGTAGTAGATATTCCGCAGCATCTTGTTCATAATCTGCGTCCTCTGAGAAATGATCAATGCTCTTACAAACCCCAATAAACATGCCTGTAAGAAACACACACACACACACACACATCCAGACGCCTTCACAGTCACACATGCGTCAGTTAATGGCCAATGCCATTTTCCACATGGTTGGACTAATGCTATCAAATCATTAATAATATCAATATCCTCCCATCTAATTAGTCATTCTCAAAACACACAGACAGGAAACACTCACATTTTCTCTTTTTCTTATAGTGTCATTCCACATATCAAATATCAACTAAGCTGATTAAAGAGGCATTGATTTAAAAAGTGGTCCTCCATTGCTCTTTTTAGTTATGTGCAACAACAAAATCAACAAAGTGGACACCACATGAGGGTACATGTTATTGTGTGAGGTAGATGCCACATATGTTTAGGAGCTGTATTTCTGTTGATGTGTGCATGATTGACATCTGTAGAGAAAGTGTATGGTCTGTGCCAACCATCTTTCATAACTGTCTACTCATCATAAACATCTCATAGCTTTTGCATTTACTCTCGTAAAGTGAACGCTGCCACTTTGATGCCCTTTTAACAGAGTGAACGCTTCATTACACATTCCATTAAAAGAATTGACGTTGAACTGATATAGGTCAGAGAGTAGGGTGTGAGAGATGGGTCGAAACTAGAGGAAGGCGCATTGTGAGAGAAAGTAAAAATAACTAAATCGATAATTAAATAAATAAATCATCCCACGGGAAAGGGGTTTGTTTCGGCTCCAACTTTGATACATTTATAGTCAACCCACTACATGTGGTAAAATGAGAGTCGTGGTAATAAGCGAGAGATGGTATAGGATAATAGATATATAACGGAGAATATTGAATAGTGTTTACTATATTCATGAGTAATCCAAAATACTTCAAAGACAAGCATGATACTAGCATGGAACATGTAAAAAAAAAACATGGTAAAACTGTTGTACCATGAAAAAAGTAGCAAGGTGATTTTTATACTTTTATGTACGAGTGTGAATATTGGTTACACTTTTAAAGTATCTTAGTTACACTGTAATTATTATACATTTAAGTAATATTAAGTAACTATGTACTTACTATAGGGTTAGGATAAGGATTTGGTTTGGTTTAGGGTTAGTTTCATGTAATCATGCATAATTTATAGTTATTACTAACAATAACACTGTAAGTGTTAAACAAAGTGTTACCGAATATTTAAATTATTCAGTACATTCAATTAAATCAACCATTAAATCTCAACCAATCACTGCATGAAGGTTTCATAACATTTCTGTCATTTAATTCATTCATTTGATGAATACCAATTTTTTCCAATACCACAATAACTATAGTGGTATGGTGTTTTAGCTGGAAATGATTATCATGTTAGAAATATTACCTGAACATATCATATTGTAGATATTGTTATCATGTCATCCACATAAACATGCAGTAAAAAGCAGATTTAATGTAAATAATGTGGAAATAATGTACCTTCCATACAGCACTGTCTCCAGAGCCCTGAGTGCGTAAGTACCTCTTCATTCTTTCGGTTCGTGTCATTGTCATTGACGCTCTTGGTTCTGCAGACTCCACGCGAGTACAGCCAGTAGTCGGTGCCCACCGCGATGGTCATCAGGCTGAAGGCCGCGAAAGCCCCCGCCGTGGTGAGGAGCATCTGCACTCCACGGTTACACACCTTCATCCTGCCCGCAGGTGTTCCTCTGGCATCAGTGTACACTTGTGAGGGCCACGACCGGCTTATCCACAAGGAAATTCATTGGTGTTAATGAACTCTCACATGTCAGCGAACATGTCAGTGAAGTTTTGGCACGCGTCCCTCGTGCTGTGTGCTTTTAAGCGTTAAGTGAGAGAGATAATTCGGGTTTATCTCCTTCAAGTAGGTAAATCCTCATTTTGACGCTCCTAACTTACCTTATAGGTCAAAAATTAGCTCCAAGAATAACTTTCTCCCAAAAGTCATTGCGGTGATGTCAGATTTTCTTCGTATTCCCCCAGATAAGTGAAGTTTGCCCATGACTGAACTGTGCGCATTCCCGTGGAACATGCTGAGGTGGTCTCGGTGGAGTTTCTGGTGGGTCTCTGTTCGTGCTTGTGGATGTAAAGCACCGCCTCTTACTTTGCGCTCGATAGTGCAAAGTTACGCAATGTAAAAGAGCATCGTACAATTTAAAGAAGAACATGCACTAGCTAACAAATTAACTTAACCTCATTTTAAAACTGTAATGAGGTGGGACTTTTAATTGCGTATAAGAGGCGACACGTTAAAGGGATACTCCACCCAAAAATGAAAATTCTGTCATCATTTACTCACCCTCAAGTTGTTGAAAACCTGTATGAGTTTCTTTCTTTTGATGGACACAAAGGAAGATATTTTGAAGAACGATTGGAACTTTGGCACCATTGACTTCCACTACAACTGTTTGGTTCCAATCGTTCTTCAAAATATCTTCCTTTGTGTTCAGCAGAAGAAAGAAACTCATACAGGTTTGCAACAACTTGAGGGTGAGTAAATGATGACAGAATTTTCATTTTTGGGTGGAGTATCCCTTTGATTGGTGTAAATTGATGTTTAATTTATTGCTCTTTTACAGACAATTTTTCTAAACAAAAATGTTATATAAATCTTATAAAAAAATATATGAAATCGTCAATGAAATCATATAAAATGATTGTAACAATAATAATAGATTGACACTGCTATTATAACATGATGTGATTTTTATTTTTTTACAGGTATGAGGCCTACATTGTAGCCTATAGGCTATTCTGCTTATGTACAAGTTCTAATGGTCATGATGACTCATGTTGAATGTAACGAACAATAATGTTAAGCCTGACTGTATGTTTCATAATCTACAGTCGCTGCTTTATATAATACTTTTATTCTCAGGAAACTATTTGTTTCCCAATGATGACTTACTACAATGACTGATATATTAAAACCATGGAAACTATATTTTAAAATATATAGAAAATTTAACTCTGTATTTTACAAAAAAAAAAAAAAAAAAAAAAAAAAATTTTTTCAGTATCATGGTGTATACACACACACTGTTGTGAAGATAATGGGTAGACGCTCAGTCTAGGTGCTAGTTCTGGGTTTATCACCAAGTTCACTCAGGTGTGTCGGCCAGAACACCACTTAAGGCCAAATGTTCCAGAGTATGAAATAAAGAGCGGAGAAATAGTTCTGATTCTGTTTCTTTATTCCTCTTTCTTGTGTGAGTGAGTTTGAGGGTGAGTGTAATTCTGAGTGTGGTTTCTATAAAGAGAGAAACAAATTACAAATGAATAAATTAAACATATGCATACACTCATTCCTCTCTAAGCACTAATATACATTACTAAACAAAGCAAACAATAGTCAGAATATAACTATACAGTATATCTCTTAAACTCTAATACTGTAAGCATAATGTAAAGATTCAAACACTTATTATAAAGGATCCTCAGATTTTCTATTATAAGTTAAATTCCCACTAACATAGATAGCACTTACTGTCATCTATGATAATACACTTTATAGCTTCAACTAACTAAACAGCTGGATGGTTTTATTATGAAAAAACCCCGTACTGAATGCTATATTCCATTCGAGCTAGCAAAGCCCTGACTGAGAAACCTCGATAGCGATCCAAATAACAATATTTACCACCACTTATTTCTTATTTTACTCAACCACAAAGTACTGATCAATCCTAACAACAAATATGAAAGTATAAACACATCTAAACACGATATTACATATCGTTAACTCGACGTACTAAAATCAGACGAGTCGAAGCTCGAGCGTGAAATGAACGAACGTGGATATAATTAGCACCACGGTCGCATAGCGACTCCTTAAACTCCTAACTGTTATCCACATCAAATAACAGAAATAACTAGTTTAACAAATAATACAATATCACATATGTACTTACTTTTCTCATTTACGCACACTCTGAAGAAAGGTGCAGCTCACATCTACAATCCGACCGACCGACCGACTGACTGACTATCTCTATCGTACTGCATACTAACTGTGTGACGTCAGATAGTATACAAACCAGCGCGCGCTTCGGCTACCGTTACAAGCACTGAATAAACGGAAGTAAACGTGAAACAAAGCCTAATATGGTCAACTATACAAAATAATAGCAACACTGAAATAACTTTGGGGCCTTTTCTACAGCCGCCCCCGAATGTATGTAATACATTCGCTCATCAATAAAGGCAACAAAGTTCTATGGCTGGGGTGTAGTGGCAGGAGTGGAACCGTTTCCATCTTCTCCAGATGGAAGTGCAGGGAGGACAACCAGTCTGGCAACGTGTGTAGATTCTCTCCTTCACCTTTACATCAGCGGACCTGATGTGCCCGTCAGGGCTGGGATGAGTCTTAACCACTTTCCCAATGGGCCAGAGAGCCCTCGGAAGATGTGGGTCAGCGATCATCACTACCCAGTCCCCTTCAATATCAGCTGGTGTAGCCTGCCACTTCTGGCGAGCTTGCAGGCTCGGCACATAGAGTCGGATGAAACGGGCCCAAAAGTGGTCAGCCAAAACTTGGGAGTGTTTCCAACGGCGGCGACAGATGAGCTCACTTTCGGGGTAGACTACCTGAGGCAACGAACCATCAGGCCGCCCCATAAGAAGAACACTGGGAGTCACTGGATCTGGGTCGCTGGCATCTGAAGACACATAACCCAAGGGCTTACTGTTAAGGATCCCTTCCACCTCAGTAAGTACAGTGCGAAGCACTTCTTCCGGAACAGGTTGAGCACCAACTGTGGCATAGAGTGCACTCTTAACTGAGCGTATCTCCCTCTCCCACACCCCTCCGAAGTGAGGAGCGGCTGGGGGGTTAAAGCGGAAGGAGATCTTCTGTGGTGCAAGGAGATGTTGTAGTTCTTTAGACATTCCAGCGAAGGTCTCACGGAGTTCTCGCTCACCTCCCTTGAAATTTGTCCCTTGATCGGAAAACAGCTCGGCAGGTGTTCCTCTACGGGAAATAAATCGACGAAGGGACATCAGAAAAGCATCCGTATCAATAGAGGTAAGGAGGTCCAAGTGCACTGCCCTCGTTGTGAGGCACTTGAAAATGATCCCCCATCTCTTCTCCCGGCGCCGGCCAACTTTGACCTCAAATGGCCCAAAGCAGTCCATCCCTGTAGAGTAGAAAGCCGGCTTGTAAAGGCGCAGACGGGCTGATGGCAGGTCTGCCATTTTCGGCACTGCAGGTCTTGCCCTCCATCGCCGACAGTCAGCGCAGCTATACTGGTAGCGCCGGACAGCCTCACGCCCTCGCAGGATCCAGAAGGAGCGTCGAAGCTCAGCGAACACCCGCTCTGGGCCGGGGTGGCGTAGGCGGTTGTCGAAGTTTTGGATCAAGAGCGTAGTCACTCGATGACCTGGGTCTAAGATGACTGGATGGAGAGTGGTCAGTTCTAGGCCTTCTGCTCGACGGAGTCGTCCTCCAACACGAATGAGCTCTCCCTTTTCATCCAGCTCTGGAGACAGCGTACGGAGTCGACTGCTGCTGGGAACTGGTTTACCAGCTTTCAGGAGGCTGTACTCTTGCTGAAAACTATCCCTCTGAGCCCTCTGAAGTATTAACTGTTCAGCCTGTCGGTAGTCTTCAGCTGTGGGCTTATCATTAGAGTTGGCCGCCCCATGCAGCTCCTGCACGGTCTCTTCCAGCAGCTCCTTCCACGAGCCGTATTGACTCACTTCTGAAGTCGACTGGCTTGATGCAACTGCGGCGACCCCACAGAAAGTAGACTTGCGCAGCTCTGAGGTATCTTCTGCTTGTTCAACAGCAGGGTCCTCTGGCCATGAGTCTGGACTGGTCAGGAGGAAGGCAGGTCCCAGGCTCCATCTATTTGGCTGAACAAGCTCTCTCAGCTTCTTCCCTCGTGTTACGTCATCAGCAGGGTTTCTTGCGGTATCAACATATCTCCAGGCATGCCTGTCAGTCAGCTCCTGTATCTCGGCCACGCGGGTGCCCACAAAAACCTTGAATCGGCAAGATTCAGACCTCAGCCATGTCAGCACCGTTGTGGAATCTGACCAAAGGATTGTCTGATCAATGTGGAAGGTAAGCTCCCTCTTCAGCACCTGCGAGAGCTGTGCACCCGTAAGGGCAGCACAGAGTTCTAATCGGGGCATAGAGTGAAATCGCTTGGGAGCAACTCTAGAACGGGCCATCAGGAATGACAGATACACTTCACCGTGTCTGTCAGTGGTCCGGAGGTATGCCACTGATCCATAAGCCTCTTCTGAGGCGTCGCAAAATACATGCACCTCTCTCTGAAGACCGGAGGTGTCCACGTCCTTCGACAAGTATGGTCGGGGCAGGGTGACTTGAGGTAAGACTTGTAATTCTTCTTCCCAGTCTTTCCACTGCTGCAGACGCTCCTGCGGTAGTAATGGATCATCCCATCCCCTGTGTTTGTCCCAAAGGTGTCGGACAATTATCTTAGCCCTGGTGGTGTAGGGTAGGATGAACCCCAAGGGGTCGTACTGACTCGCCAGCACCTTATAGATATTACGCATCGTAGGAACCCCATACTCCACATGGCGATGCTTGTAGCCAAGGACATCCGTGTGGAAGAGCCAGCTTAGCCCTAGAGTAGATTCTGGGGTATCTGTCTTGTTCTGAGCCAGCCATAGCTCAACACTGGCAGAGCAGCTCTCTTGTGGTAGGTGACTTATTACACCTGGTTCGTTGCTTGCCCACTGACGCAGATCAAAGCCTGCAGACGCAAGAAGGGCTCGTAGCTTGTCTACAAGGTGCCTCGCAT